TTGGGGTTCTGACTCGGACTGCCCCCTCTTTGATACAACTGGGGGTGCTTGGCATCGCGCCCCTATCGTGCGGCCCCCTGGTGGGGTGTGCCCTTGCCTGCCGGTGCGCTTGGGGCCCTTGGTGTCAGGGGCTGGGCGCTTGGGCGTGTGTCGGCTCGGCCTGGTGTCTGCCTGGTGGGGCTCAGGTCCTCTGGCCCTGTCGGGCCTTGGCCTGGGTGGTGTGAGTCCTCGGTGCCCGGGCCTCAGTGCCCGGGCCTGGACCTACATCGGTGCGGCGGGTTCCGACGGAGGCCTATGAGTTTGTCGCTGTTGGCCCCGGGGGGTCACTGTATGTGGTCGCTGGTGGGGATCTTCTGGTTCTCCCCTGTGGTCCGATCTGGGGGGTGGGTGAGTGGTTCATCTTGTGTGGGTGGCCCTGGGGGCTCCACGGTCGGGGTCCCTCCTGGGGTCTTGGGCTCTGGTCCCCCCTTTTTCGTCTGCCTCTGGTCTTGGGGGTCGGGTCTCTGTTACTTCACAGTTACTATTAAATATTCTATTAGAGAAGCCTTATACACTTATGCATGCTCACAACAACGCACAAATAGATGCAGGGATGCTTATGTAGGCTTTATATGTAGATATATAGATATGTATATGAATGTATATTCATATGTATGTATGTATGTATATAGGCGTAGGTATGGGTATATATATTTATGGAAACTTACTGCAAAGCCATGAATATTTTAAGTTCTTTATACATATGTATTTTGTTGCTGTGTTTTGTCATGTTTTTTGCAGGTGAACAGACAGTGGCCGTGTGTTTTGCCGTGTGCTCTCTTTGTGTATATTTCTTATATTTTGGAGTCTTACTTTGTCTTTTCCTTCTTTCTATCCTATTATTAAAAAAATAAAAAAATAAAAAAAATAAAAAATAAATAAAAAAACTACACTAGATAATCACTAGAATAAATATTTCATAATAATGGTGTGGAAAGAATGGCTGTAAGGGGAGAAGGGAGGCCATCTAAAAGAAAAAAAAACAGGTCTAAGATGGAGGATTTTTCAGGACGTTTTTTATTTAATCTAGCGGGAGAATTGATCAGTCGGGTAAGATTAAAAGTCAAGCAACGTTCCTTGAATTTATCACAGAGGGAGGTCAACTTACACCAATCAATGTTGAGATCTCCAGCCAAAAGGACCTCTGTGAATTTTAAATTACCAAGAAATTCCATCATGGCAGTCAATGCCTCAGGTGATGCTGTGGGGCGGTAGCAGCAGACTACAGTTAAAATCTGGCCTCCATTCAAGGTGATGTTTACAGATAAGGCTTCAAACTGGTTTGGAATTGTTTTAGAAGACACAAGACTAGAAACCAGAGAATCTCTAATGTAAATAATGACTCCACACCCCACCCCACCCTTTATGACGATCACAGCAGTAGATGTTAAATCCATTGATTGCCACGTCATTATTCATTACAGATTTGTTCAGCCAGGATTCAGAAATAAAGATAACATCTGCCCCAGAAGAACTGACCAGAATTTTCAAAGCATCCAGTTTTCTCAGAAGGCTACAAGCGTTTACATGCAGAAAATGAAGCCCAGACACATTCTTAAAGTCATTTGGTGTGCTGTAATTAGTGGGGGGTCCAGGGTTGGGCTGAATCCCTGAGAGCAGTAACAACATTATTATCAGACATTTTCTTGAGTTTTTTGTGACTGATGTGTAATTATAGGAGTTAACAGTGTGACAATTAGCACCCATAATCGAACCATGAGAAACATTAACGAAGACGCGATCATTCAAAACCCAAAAACAGTGAAAGTTACAGTGATGGACAGATTCAGGTGTATTAACAAGATTCAGTGACTCCAGATAATCTGAGAACTGAAAATAGTGACAATAATATGAATGATGCAGAAAAGTTTCAGACCATAAAACATCACAGTTCAAATGGGCAAACAAACCCGACGAGTTGGCCCAACTACAGTTTGAGTTGGGCTGAGGGGGGCTCTGGTCCCCCAGTGAAGAAGGATGGATGCTCTCATGGGAAACAGAAGCTGGGTCCAGAATCAACAGGCCAAAACAGAAACAGATAATTTGCAGCAAATAGCAGAGCGAGCTGCCAGAAAATCCTCCTGAAGTGAAAGACATGATCCAAGCTCGTTTCAGGTCAACAGGGGCCAACAGCGTGATCCGGAATAAAATAAATTATTATCCAAGTGAGTTTGGATGGAGGCCTGCAGCAACTCCGATACAAACTCCGAACTTCTCTCGAGCACCATGCAGCCCTGCTCCTTCACGCTGCTCCTCCACGCTGCTCCTCCGCTTCTCAGCACGTCACCTCCTCACCTGACAGCACGGGGCACCCCCGGTGAAAAGCGAGACTGACCAGAGAGGCTGAGGCTGAAGTCGGCAACTGGTCCGGTCCGATTCTGCTCCAGTTCGGCTCCGGCGCTCCAAGCATGAGAGACGAAGAGGCTGAAGATATCCCTGGCCCGGTTCTACTCCGGTCCGGCGGCCCAGTCCGGCGGCCCAGTCCGGCGGCCCGGTCCGGCGGCGCGGTTCTGCTCTGGTCCGGCGGCGCTTCAAAGCACCGGAGCCTCTCCTCCAGGTGAACACAACGACTCCACAGAGGTGGATTGTCCTTCGGTAAAAGTAACGGGCTGCTCACTGAAGCTGAGACCGGCTCTGTTGAAGACGAAATCCCCACAGCCCCACAGCCACCTCGGTTCGGTTCTGGTCCAATTCGAGGGACACAGGTACACTTCCCCCACACCTATGGAGACACCACGAGGGTCAGTCCAGCAGACAACCAGCGAAATACCACCCGGCGATATTTGTCGGAACCAGGTAGAACCACAAAAGTCCAGATAAGAGTTTGTTGAGGTCCAGAGAGAGAGAGAAAAAACACCGGACCTTCGTGCGTTGACTCCCCAGCTCTAGGGGTCACCTGGCCGGCAGGGTGCGCTCAGAGTGACTGATGGGGGGGAGCGGCCGGTCGGTCCTGGACCAAAATATATATATTTTTTTTTGGACGGTCCCGTCCGGCTCTCTGAGTCACTGAACACCGAATTCGGTTGGAAGGAGGACCAACTTTAGTCTGGTTCGAAAAACGGGTCAGTTTGATGATAAAAGACTGCAGAGAAGCCGGAGGGAGCTGCTGTCCATCAGCTCGCTGGAAGTGAAGTGATGAATTAAATTTAGATAAAACTAAATACATGATATTCAGTAACAAAAAGAGAACTGTTGATGATCCATTTAAAATTGAGGGTGTTGAGATCTGTAGAGTTAATGAGATGAAATTTTGGGGTGTAATCATTGATGAAACGCTAACATTGAAAAATCACAAATTCTGTAAGAATAAAAATAGCGAAATCTATTGCAGTACTATACAAGGTCAGGGACTTATTAAATGATAAAGCGCTGTACATGTTGTATAACACAATCATTGTTCCACATTTAATCTATTGCATTGATGTTTGGGGGAAAGCGTGTAAAACATTTACAAAGCCTATTTTTATTTTACAGAAAAGAGCTGTAAGAATTATCACTAGAATGCAGTCACCCATCAAGCACATTATTTTATCAACTGAAGTTATTGAAGTTCCATGATTTGGTAGATTATAGTATTTTATCAGTTATGTATAGGGCTCAAAATAACACATTACCATTAAATATCCAAAGAAATTTTGTTAAAAGGCAAAATTGTTATAATCTTAAGGGGATAGAGATATTTGTCAAACCAAAATTCAGAACTAGTCTGAAGGGAAGGTCTACCTCAATCCAAGAAATTGGATTGTGGAATGGTCTAGAGAGTGATGCTAAAAATGCCAAGTCAATGTGTACATTTAAGAAAAAGTTCAAAGCTGAATTGTTAAAAAAAAGAAGTAGCTTAATGTGTATTGTATTAGAGTTAGAAAAATTAGAAAGAGTTATTCGTTTTGTTCTGTTACCTGAAGATTATTATGACTGAACTAATTGTTTGAAAAAAGGGGCAGATATAATAAGATTTTTTCTTCTGTCTGCTGCCTTTCATTTTAAATCTCTTGTATTTTTTTATATAGTTCATAGAATTGTTTTTTTTTTTTTTTAAATGAATAAACTTTATACCATACCATACCATACATTCCAAAAACAAAAAAAGCGTAGAAAAGTTTCGTCTTTCATCCGAAAGACTTCTTCAGTCTGAGGAGCTGTATTCAGCGCAGTCTAAGGCCCTATTTACACGGACACGATGGGGGGAAACTTAGGTTTTTTCGTATGTTAATTAGAGGAAAAGATTTGCGTTGACACTGTCGTATTTTGGGTTTACATGCATCCGGAGGATTCCCCCCCGCCCTCCCGAATCCACTGTAGTTACCATGCCGGGTCATTAGTTGGCGCTGTGAATTTTGTACCTTCACCTAATGCGCATGCGTGCTGCCTCGACACGTTGTTTTCCTCTGTGCTAACCAGCTAACAACAACATAACGTAACAACAAGTTAAAGCTAGATTTTGGATAAGAGTCGACAGATTTGATGCCAAGCGGGCCAAGCGAGTTTTTATTTTTTCCTGAAAGAAGAAGAAGCTGTCCTTCCACCAGGCGGACCGGTTCTGAACAAGGCTCGGCCCAGATGCAGGACAGGAGGACGTTGAAGAGAGATGTTGGATGAACTATTTATTTAAAATTCCCCTCATTTCTTTTATTCAATCCATTCAAGTTCAGTTAACATGTTTTAATAATGTGTTCAGTATAATTATGAGTGTTTGTGTGACATACAGTTTGTGGTGTTGAATAAATAAATAAAAATTAAACCTGATGTCTTCATTTTCAACTTTAGTGTTCACGCTATATGTTTAGCATCATTTTAAATTTGAATTACATAATGTCCAGATAGCTTCATTTAGCTCAGAGCTTCATTATATCTCACACTAACATAAATACTGTTTATTATTATTAAACTGTTGTTATTTAGCAAATTTATGTTATAGTGCAGCGCGACGTGTGCGCGTGCCACGTTCTATAAACAGCGACATTAGAACTGGATCAAACTGTGTCTCTTCCAACACAGATGTCGGTCACAGCACCTAGAATCTCACGTAGATTAACTACGAGATTAAAATATATTCCATCAGTCGAGGTTCTGAAAGCACTGTCCGCCGCCATGTTGATAGAAATATAGCATCTGTCCGCGCGTGCGCATGTGGTTTAACACAAAGCTTCAGCGGGAGATGTTTACATTATCAGCGGGGGGTCAGCGAAAAACCTCCACTCTGGAAGGTGGGTTCAGAAACCTCCGGATTCAAAGAGGGGGGCCACTGGTGTTGTGTAAATGATCAGCAGAACCGCAGAGAGAAAGCTGCGGATGCACTCAAAATACGCGCCGTGTAAACGGTCCCTAATAAATAGCACCTTCTCATAGTGGATCAACCAGTTTGCTGCTGACAGCCAAAACTAGCTGTTCACAAGATTAAGGAGGACCATCAGCCTAACAATGGATCATTAGCCCCCTGATGGTTGCTTGCTATTCACAGGGTGATACTAGCAATAACAACATTGTAAGAGGGGGACAGTTGAACACAGAGGCCTTCACCCCTGTTTAATGATGGATGTTTTCTTTTCACAAAGATGGCCTCTTTTAATCCTCTCTCAAACCATCGTTCCTCTCTATCAAGGATGTGAACATCTTCATTCCTGAACGAGTGACCGCTGGCCTGGAGATGAGTGTAGACTGCAGAGTCCTGGCCTGATGATGTTGCTCTTCTGTGTTGGGCCATCCTTTTGGCCAGTGGCTGTTTAGTTTCCCCTATGTAAGACTGATCAGGGTCAGAGTCAGAGTTTCTTTATTGTCATTCGCACCTCATGTGGTACATGTGGTGGAGCGAAATTATGTACACAAGGTCCCAGTTACATCCAACAATAAAATGTATAAGAAAAACAGTAACAACATCTAAGATATGAACTAAGAAAAACATCAACTAAATATACACTAAGCACTCATAACATAAAACATTGAACATCAGCACAAAAATGAGCATGAGTCTGTGAGCGGATGTGCACACATGAACACATCAACATGAAACAGATCAGCAGCAACAGGAAACAGATCAGCAGCAACATGATATGGTTTTTCACAGTGATTATTCTAGTTAAAGATTCATGAGTCTAACAGCCTCAGGGTAGAAGCTGTTCCTCAGTCTAGTGGTTCTACACTTAATGCTCCTTAACCTCCTTCCTGAGGGGAGTGGGGCAAAAAGTGTGTGTGCTGGGTGAGTGGGGTCCTTCATGATGCAAGTGGCCCTCTTCCTGCATCTGGAGGTGTAGATGTCTGTGATGGTGGGGAGGCTGATTCCGACAGACTTCTGTGCAGCCTTCACCACTCTCTGCAAAGCTTTTCTTTCTGCAGCTGTGCAGCCTCCATGCCATACGTTGATGCTAGAGCACAGGATGCTCTCCACTGCACACCTGTAGAAGGAGGTGAGGACTGAGCTTCCCAGACCAGCTCGCCTCAGCCGTCTGAGGAAGTAGAGTCTCTGATGAGCTTTCTTGATCAGGCTGGTGGTGTTGTTGCTCCAGCTGAGGTTGTCATTCATGTGTACACCCAAGTACTTGTAGCTGGAGACCACTTCCACCGCAGATCCTCTTATGTTCAGCGTGGTGTAGATGTTTTTGTTCCTTCTGAAGTCCACAATCATCTCCTTTGTCTTCTTCACATTGATGTGAAGGTTATTCTCTTTGCACCAGCTCTCCAGGTGTTCCACCTCTTGCCTGTAGCTGGACTCATCATTGTTTGTGATGCATCCCACCACCGCTGTATCATCTGCAAACTTTACAATGTGACAGCCTGGATGGGTAGCTGCACAATCATACATGAGCAGAGTAAACAGGAGGGGGCTCAACACACATCCCTGAGGAGAGCCAGTGCTGAGGGTTATGGTGGAGGAGAAGTTGTGGATCCTCAGCTGTGATCACAGCCCTCCTGACACTGAACAGCATACAAAATATTACTCTGTTTATGCCGGGGGACTGGATCTTTGGGATGAACCAGTCTTTGCTGTAATGTATATTGGGTTTAAAAGCCACTGGGATGTTGTGTTTAGAAAATAAATGTCTCAATTTCTCTGAAACTCTCAGCAGAACCTCACAGCAGGATCAAAGGCATGTCAGCAGCCTGAAAGTGAGCAAGTTCTATGTGGCCATGTTTTGTCTGGCCTGTTAAAAGCCCTATTTGCATGGGATTAATTTTACCTAGGGACCACATGTAATACATAAATTACTCCCCATCGTCTGCTTTTTATGTGGTGCATTCGCACGGGATAACCAATGCCTGAGATTTAGCTGAAATTTACGGACATCTTCCGTATATGATGTTAACGTGCTGCGTTGTCATGGCCGGGCCGGTCCATAATAATGTGCTTAATGTGGGGGCTGGGCCGTTCTCAGGCTTTGATGTGGTTTTACAAATCAGCACAAAGAAAATTAAATAAAAATGCACAGTATAAAACTGTGTTAATCTATTGTTGAGGAGGAGGCATGTCCGACTGGCCAGTTTAAGAGGTAAAAAACGCCACGTTATGTTCAGATGGACAAGCTGTCACCGGCATGCATCCGCTGACCCGCCGGTTGACAAGGACTTGCGACCTGTCCAGGGTGTCCCCCGCCTTGTGCCTATGTCCAGTGATGGCTGGACATGGGCACCAGCAACCCCTACTATCCGAAAAGGAAGAACCACTGGTACCATAATGCACAATGTACCACTGGTACATTTTCATCTTTAAATCACTTCTTGGTCTGCTGCCTTCATACATCTCCTCCTACATGTCTCTGCGTGAGTGCAGCTATGGCGTGCGCTCTCAGGACATTATTACTTGCAGTGTTCCCTCAATAAGGACTAAACTAGGCAAGAGGGTCTTCTCCTACTCCGCTCCTGTTTCCTAGAATACCTTACAAAAACAATTGAAGCTCTCGACCTTGACCTCTCTAAGTGGCTTTAAGAAACTGTTGGACTCCTGGCAGGGACCAATGCAGACATGTTCCTGTTTTTAGTTTTCTACATTCACCCTAGAATCTAGCTGTTTTTTTGTTACCTTTTTTCTTTTAGCCATCCCATTTGTTAAAAAATAAAAAAAATAAAAATCTGTAGTATGACTTTTTATAACTGTCTATTGTTGTCGCTGTTGTCCATTGTTGTCATCATTCTTTGTTGAAATCAGGTCTCTCTTTTAAGAGTCCTCGAGGCTCAATGGGATTTACCTGTCTAAATAATGGTTGAATGAAAAAAGAAACGGGTAAAGATAATGGATGGGTCAGCTGATCACCAGCTGAATGCGCACACCAGATGCTCCTCACAGTTCTAGGAACTCGTCTTAAGCGCAGAGGTGACAGGGCCTTCTCTGTAGCAAGCCCAAGACTTTGGAATGAGTTACCTCTGCTTGTCAGACAAGCCCCTTCCCTCTTGGTTTTTAAATCCTGTTTAAAAACACACTACTATTCAGTAGCTTTCAACACCAGATGATCTGTGTTTTGAACCTGTTTGCTTTACACAGGTTAGTTGTCATATTTATTATCTGCATCGTTTTTATGTTTATATTCTGATTTACTTCATTTTGTATGTTGCTTTGTGTGTTACCTGTTGTTCTGTCTGTACAGCATTTCGGTTGGCCTTGTCGCTGTTTTAAGTGCTTTATAAATAAAATGGTATCTCCGCACCTGCTGTCATTTGCTGTGGAGGAAGTAGCAGTATCTACAAAAGCCAAAGCGAGCAGCGCGTTCATTTAAAATAGCTGTGTTCTATATTTTTCCAATTAATTTTGCTTAAACAAAAACAAAAAATGCCCAATTACATATCGGATCCAGCCCATTTCTGTCCAAATCCTAGAAATGGCTATTGGCATTGGATTAGTATTATCACAGAACCTTGGAGTTCAGCAAAATATAGTAGGTAATTTGTGGGGAATTTTTACTTTACAAATTACTGACATGGTCGATTCGCACGGGATTAACAACACAAACAATCTCCATAATTATTACAAATAACATGTGGTCCCTAGGTAAAACTAATATGGTGCAAATAGGGCTAAAGTCTGGTTAACTGGGGGGTTGGGTTGGGCATAAGTTCTTGGCCGTGGGTGACACACAATCAGTTTGTGTGTGAGAACATGCAGGTTAATAAGTGTGTGTTAACTTAAAGTGTCAACTTTAAGACCCTTCTAAATTCATTTTAGCATCTTGAGACTCAGAATCAGTGACGCAAACAGCATCAAACAAAAGTTAAACACAAATTTGATGGGTGGCTGCAGGAGGTTCAACATAATGTGCAGTCAGAAAACAAAAAGAGTGAATAGATGCTGTGTGTGTCATCTGGAAACCCTTGAAGCAAAAGAATCCACTAAAACGTGGCTCCTTACCAGCTCGACAAACAAAGTTGGCCTCAGCTTCAGAGGAAGATGGCGACAGCAGCTCGTCATCGTACTCGTTGGAGCTGAAGGAGCCGAAGTGCTTCCTCCTGCGAGCATCCATCACAGCGTTGGCCACCATGACGTGCCGCAGTGAGTCGTTCAGGTAGCGATGCAGCAGGCTGCTCTTGTACTTAGGTGGAGACACGTAGTCCTCAGAGAACGAGGTGGCTTCGGCAGCAGAACGCAGCCCCGGGCTCATACCTATGGTCATGCTCATCATAGAAGAGCCCTCCTTTTTGATGACGCTCTGGTACATGGGTTTGTTGAGCCCCTCAGGGCCACCTTGTGTCCTCTGAGGATTGTCTCCATCTGTGAAGGTATTAACCAAGGTATGAACAATTAAAATTAATGGATTGCAAAAAAGTCTATTCAAAAACTATCTTTCACACTAATTACACCAATTCTGTTACGTTAGTTTTGTGTGTAATCTAAAATTAAACTGTCTCATAACGTCACCTATCTGTAGTTATAATTGCCAAGAAGATCTCATCTTATCTCATGCTGTATTCATTCATACCCATCTACTCATCACAATGTACTCATGTTTGTAAGAATATAATGAATTATTATTAGCCATTTACATATATATGTAATTTATCATTCTCAACAGGAATATTTCCAAACAACATGAAAAGAGCCAAGGTAAATCCTCTTTTTAAAAATGGTGAGAAACGCGTGTTTAACAATTAAATGGATTGGTAAATGGACTGTACTTATATAGCGCCTTTCTTTCTTATTTCAAGATACTCAAAGCACTTTACACTACAATCTGTGCCTCATTTACCCAACCACACAGCACTAGATCTCTACAAAGCTAATTGAACAAATCATTCTAAAGAGACTAATCAGAGCTTTATCACATTCAAACACCGATGGGACACACATCAGAGGCTATGACGGGTTCAGTGTCTTGCCCAGAAACACTTCGGCATGTGACTGCTGGTGGGTTCGAACCCCCAACTCTCGCATTGGAGGACGACTGCTCTAACCACTCAGCCACAGCCACCCCTAACAGACCAATATCCTTGTTGCCACAGTTTTCGAAGATTTTAGAGAAGTTATTTGTGATTAGATTGGATCAATTTATTGATAAACAGAATATATTAAGTAACAGTCAATATGGGTTTAGACCTAAAAATTCTACATCAATGACTCTCATGGAATTAACAGAAGAAATAACAACTGCTGTTGATCAAAAAAAGTACTGTGTTAGTATTTATGTTGATTTAAAGAAAGCATTTGATACTAATGACCACGGTATTCTTCTTGAAAGCTAAATAAATATGGCATTAGAGTGCTAGCATTACAGTGGGTATCTAGTTATTTAGAAGAAAGGAAACAGTTTGTTCAAATAAATTATGTGATCTGAACTTTGTAACATTACATGTGGAGTGCCTCGAGGTTCTGTACTTGGACCTAAGTTATTTATTTTATATATAAATGACTTGGTTAATGTGTCAGGACTTTTTAGATGTGTTTTATTTGCAGATGATACTACATTTCTTGGTTCGGGTAAAGATACAGAACAAATGTTGGAGATGGTACAGACAGAACATGTGAAAATACAAAATTGGTTTCAACTTAACAAATTATCAATTAATTTGGATAAAACAAATTACATGATATTCAGTAACAGTAAGTAGGGCTGGGTACCTTTCTAAAAAAATCTGTATCGGTACCGGTGTTGGTACCTTCACTTCGGTGTCAGTTCCTGGACGGTTCTTTTTTTGATACCAATTTTGTAATTACTATTAATTCTAACAAGAATAAAATTATGTTACACATTACAGTACAAATCGTGAGTTTTATTTTTTTAACTTAGGTATTTTTCTATTCCAAGCAGTTTTCTTACATAAAAATAAACAAACAATTTCCAGATCAAAAGAACAGTTGCAAACCAGTGACATGTCAGTGTCTAATGCTCACTGCTACACAATGAGGACCTTTTCACTTAACAGTTTCTTCAGAAAAATCAACATGTCTGCTTTCGCTGGACACAAACAAGCCCGCTCCTGGCTGATGGTGTCTCTAGCAGTAGAAATGTTCACTCTGAGGGTGTGGATGATGCTTGTTACACACACAGATACCTGGTTGCCAGTTTGACAGCATTGGCATATTGTCCCTTGCATTCTACCAGCAGGTCACAGGTTAGGGTTGATGCAGGCTTCTGTAGCTCTGTGTCTCTGCCTGAATCTTCTCTATGGTTCTCTGGGGTTTAGGGCTCTTATCATCTCCCTAGTTCACATTAGAACACAAAACATCAACAATAACATGGTTGTGTTATTATTGCTCAAAAAACATTATCTAGGCTGAGAAATAAAAGCTTAACTGTTAACAACATCCTTTACAGCATAACTTACCTCCACCATGCAGCCTCCACTGTAGTTAGAAGCAGCAAACTTTTAACAACAAAGTTTGTGACTGTCCTGTGGCCCCCACCTCACTTTTATTTTGTCTGCCCTCCTCACATCAGGGTTAGAGATGCACCGATCTGATATCATCATTGGTATCAGTACCTATATCGGAAGAACTTCTGGATCGGGTATCCGTGACAATGTGACCGATCCATTTTCCGATCCACCTTTTTCACGACATCCGGAAATTGTCCAACACCACAACTGCTTTGAAACGCAGAAGCGTGAAAAAGGTATATTCTATGCTTTGTGCTCTGAGTGACGTCATGCACTAACCAACTCACTACACAGATCATTTTCAAAATGGAGCGAGCTAAAGGATCAGCCATCTGGAACTATTTCACACTACCTCAACCATCACATTCGACAGCTACGTGCAATACGTGTGCAGTAATGATTCCAATGGGTGGCAGTAAATTTTTCAACTTTAACACTACCAACTTAATCAAACATCTCCAGAGATTTCACCCTAAAGAGCATGCTGAGTTTGTTGAACGGAACCAACCAAAAGGAGGTGGCATGACGCAGCTAACTTTGAAGGGGATGAAAGAAAGAGGTGAAAAGTTTCCACCTAATAGCGTTCAAGCAACAAAAATCACTGAAAGGATACTGAACTTCATTATCATGGATGGGCAGCCATTCTCAGTTGTTGGAGATAAGGGATTCCGGCTGCTAATTAACCACCTGGAGCCACGATACGACATGGTAAGCCGAAAATATTTGTCGGAGATGGCGCTACCTGAACTGCGTGATAAAGTGTGCAAACACATATTGGAGGAGATAAAGGATGTTGAAGCTTTAAGTTTCACGACAGACATTTGGAGCTGTGATGTTTCTCCCGTGTCACTTTTAAGTTTAACTACACACTGGCTGAATGAGAGTTTGGTGCCACACAGTGCAATGTTAAATGCAGCAAAATTTCGTGGGTCACACACCAGCGAAGCAATAGCTGCTAACCTGAAGGAAATGTTTGACAAGTGGCAAATTCTGTTGAGCAAAATCCACGTGATTCTGAGGGACAACGCCAGCAACAGCGTTGGCTGCGTTCAGTTCAATTCAGTTTATTTATATAGCGCCGAATCACAACAAAGTTGTCTCAGGGCACTTTACAGAAACATTCACATACATAAAAGCCAATTAGTAAAGTTCTCTATCTAAGGAATCCAGCAGACAAGTTGAATCTTGGCTTTGTTGCAGTCTCCCATCCTGAGCAAGCACAGTGGCAACAATGGAAAGGAAAAACTCCCTTTTAAAAGGAAGGAACCTCCAGCAGAACCAGGCTCAGGACAAGCGGCCATCTGCTTTGACCAGCTGGTTGAAAGGACAGGAAGGAGAGACAGACGAACACATACAATGCAGCTGGTTGTTAACGAGGGACTTCTGTCACAGCGTGTGATCAGTGATGCTGTTGCATTTGTGAGACAGATTGTCGGACACTTTAAACATTCTCCTCTTGCATATTCACAGCTGCAAGATATCCAACTCGAGATGAACATGCAACCTAAACGCCTTCAGCAGGATGTCAAAACCAGGTGGAACAGCATTTACTACATGGTAGAGAGCCTGACTGAACAGAAACAAGCACTGTCTGCTTATTCTGCTGACCATGAGCTGCCCGCAGTACTCACAACAAACAAGTGGGCCTTGCTTGAAAAAATAAGGAAGTGTCTTGAACCATTTGAAGAGTTTACAAGTAAGGTGAGCACAGCCACGGCCTCCACTGCTGATGTTATCCCAAGCATCACTGTTCTCAAACGTCTCCTCTCTATGGAAACCGAGGCTGATGCTGGAATCAAAACCATGAAAAAGACCCTCTTAGCAGCTGTTGACAAGTGCTTTAGCACCGTGGAGGATGAACCTCTGTATGCACTTTCTACACTGCTGGACCCATGATATAAAGACAGGTGAGACTGTATTCATATGACAGGTTTTGTTCAATAAATTAACAGTATGGTGAAATATTTTAATGTTTTTGTAAGTTATTTTTCACTCATGACAAACATAACTTTAATAGAGCTTTGAACAGATAAATATACATGTCAGGGTTTTATACATATCAACTCATACTTTATCAATCTCACACTGTTATTGTTTTTCTTAACTCTGTTTCTGTGCGTTCGAAGCAGAATTAACTGATACAAAGGTATCAGGAACTCATTACTCACACCCATGTCCTGACTTTTTGAGAAGCGTTTAATCATAAAACAAAATGTTCTAGACTGCCTTGCCCTCGTTGTGTAATCAAAACTGCCTCTATAATCAAGATTTCCAGTTTTCACTCCTTTCTGTGTGACAATAAAAGACGAGCAGCTGCTGAAAGTCTTTGGAGTTCTCAGCTCACAGCCTTAACACAGTTGTGACTGTGACTCCCCATTTAGAAAGCTTGGTTGTGAACTTGCACTGTGTTGTCTGTTTGTTTGTTTTTTTAAGGTAGGAATTACCTATCAATACACACCTTAGATCAAACATGGGCAACATAAGACCCAAGGGCCAAAAGTGGCCCTTGGACAATCTCCATCAGGCCCCCAATATCATTAGTTAAAAAATAAAAAAAACTGCCTTAGATACTACAATAGCTTATATTTGAAATTATAAGATAACTGGCACATATGATATATATTTTTTAACTTCAAGAAGTGTTACTTTGAGTCTATAAATGAACCCAATGTATTTTATTTTTTCTTTTTTTTTTACCAGTGCAGACTCTACCAAGCGTGGAAAGGATGCACTAGCCAAGGAGCTGTAGGAAGACCTGAGGACTACTACTGCTGATGGAGCATCCAAGGCTTTAGAGCCACCAGGAAACCAGTGTATTTGGCTCTGCTTTGTGTATTTGGCTCTGCTATCTCTTGCTAGCGTTAGCTTAGCATGGCTGCTGCTTCTCTCCTTGTTTCC